GTTTATCTTTATATCTCTTCAGTAGAAATATAGTGGATATGTAACACATGTGAAACTAATAAATTTAAGGAAACAGTTGAAAAGTTTGAGGAATGCTTTTGCAGCCTATAATAAAAATTTGTCTTCTTATATGAACACTTCAAATGTTTGGCTGCCTGCAACTTAGTTTAGCCATACTCTCTAGAGCCTCTTTGTAATTCTGGGAGTTCAAAGCGATCACTTGAGAGATCCTTAGCTGTTTGCTTCCATAGTTTTGTGGGGCAGTGAGGCAGCATGTTCTGGGTCCCAGCCTCTACGTACACAGGTAGTCCTTTTGTCTGTCCCTATGTAATGATCTCTTACCTTTTATGAGCAGTGATGGGCATATGTGAGGAACAATTTTTGTCATTTGAAAGGATGACACTAAATGAAAATAAACAAACATTTTTAAGGAGTTTATACTTGTTATTCCTCAACTAAATTATAAATGAATGTATAGTGTCCTAAAAAATAAAAGGGCCAAATAAACAATGTCATTGAACCAACAGCATTAAAAAAATAAACAACTACCTGGAGTTTCCCCTTTTGTCTAAGACAGACCTTTCTTCTGATGACAATTTATATATCTTAATTTGCTTTTATATGATTCTTCTAAAAATACAGAAGAGTGGAATTCTTCAGTTTAAAAATATACATTGATGGAATTTATGTGTCAGTTAAAATAAGGATGCAGGATTTGCTTCATTTTGAGCTAATCTGCGCAGAGTCAGGCTTTTTTCTCCTTGGTGTCAGTAAGACAAATTTCCACACTGGTCCTCATCTCCATCCTGCTGGACCTGCTGTTAATGTTTTATTTTTAGCCCATGTAAGAAGAGGTGGTAAGATATAGTGACCCAAGATTTTCACCTTCTTTTAAGCCCAGAGGCATGGTTTGGCCTGGAGACAGATGGATTAGGGGAAGCATATTTTGTCCAAAGAAAGCTGGATATTTTGTTTTAGAGAAATATACTGCAATGTGTACTGCAGGATTTTCCCCCTAGTGGTTGCCTTAAAGCTGTTTTGTTTTTTGGGTTTTTTTTTTGTAACAATTGAAATTGACTTTTGTTTATATGTGGGAACTCGTTTGATGACGATTCTCTAACTTATGTTTTAAAACATTTGTGTCAGGATAGCCCATGATTTTCTTTAATCATCATTTTGAAGGATAAAAATACAATGCCTTGGAAAATATACTGGGGTCTTTTCTCTATTCTTTGGAAGACTAGGCATTCAAAAAACGCAAATGCAAAATATACACGAATAGTAGAAATTTTCTACTACAAGATCCCATGTTATGCTCCTCTTTCTTAGTATAGTGAAACATTTTCTTCCTCTGGTGTCCTGATGTCACTCTTTTCTGTAGTCAGTGTCACTGAGTCAGTTTAACATGATTTTTAGCTTTTCCAACCATACTTTAAACTCCTTAAAGGAAGGAAGCAAATTCCATGCTTCCTTTAAATCTGTTTCATACTGCCAGCCACAAACAGCACTGGAGTGTGTTTATTGACAATTAAATAAATGATAAATTCTTTTCCCCCCACAGAATTTCAAGTAAGTGGTTATAGTCAAATAGCAGTGACTTCTAAGGGGCAAAATGGAAATCTTTCTAGAAACTCTGTGTACTGGAAAGTCATATCTGATATATCACTGCAGAAAAAGAAAGTTCCTTCTCCTCCAATCAACTGTTTGAGACATCTTTTTTAAAAATAATATTTGGAATATAGATATATCAATAAAGGTATAAAACTTTACTTGGTAAAGTTATTTACATCTGGACTAGATACCTGTCGGCATACCTGCGTCTCTGGGGTGTTGTGTAACTGCAGGTAGAGTATTCCAAAGTCAGAACTGCTAACAGGGTAAATCAGAGGAGTTCCTAACAGCAAGAATTAACCTTAAGGAACCTTACAGGCCTTGACATCCTTTAGAGCCGTTACTGGGGGAACAAAATCATGCATTTTTTATAATAAGTGTATTTATTAGCATACAGCAACCTGCCAGCAAGATGTACACAAATGAGAGTTAGTAGCAGCAAACTTCTATGTTAGCAAGTGCTAGAGGAAAATAATCTGTAGCTGTATTGTTAATAGGAGTGAAGAACTTCTCTTGTATCTCGGGACCAAAGGCTAACAGAAGAGCTCTTGGTTACTAAGATGTGTTCTTTTCTGGTCTCAGGCTCATTAACGATGGAAGTACGAGGGAGAGGGTATAAAGCAGCAGCTGCAGCTGTGAGCACTCTGATCATTTGTCACCTGGCATGAAGTTAGTGTTGGCAGCTCCGGAGTTCCAGCACAGAACACCAGGGGGCAAATGCCAACTGATTGTTGTTCCTCACCAGCTTGCTGGCTAACTCCAACTCATTCTTTAGATCTCTGCTGAAGTCTTCCTTCCTCCAGATAGCTTTGCCTGACCTCTCTAAAATACACTTAGCACCTTTTTCTCTGCTATTATGGCCTCATATCCTCATCCTTGCCATCACACTTAATGCCTGAAGACTTGCTTGCCCTTCTCACTAGGCTAAAGGCACGAGCTGAGTCTTGTCCAATATTGCTCATTGTCTGTGTCTGGCTTACAATATGTTAGTGAACATTTATGAATACTGTCTGTTGCATGATGGTATAATGACTATATATGGGCTTTGATGTCAGTAAAAGTTGCTTTTGACTTTTAGTGTCACATAGAAGGAGAGAAGTAAATAAATTCTCAGTTTGTGTCCTCATGTACTATCTGGCGCAGTTCTATACCTGCCTCTTAAAGATAGTTGTTAAGGTTAAAAATAATATGTATTA